AAGGACATCATTACACTCAATGAGGGAATTGCTAGGAGAAGAAAGACTTTTAGTACAGTCTACCAGCCCCTCTTAACTGGCATGATCACAGCTAGAAATATTTGTTGCACCAGTTTGGCCTGATCGACATTTGGTACAGGAAGCTTCACTGTATCACTAACAAAAACTATACATTCAGAGAAAAACATTATTTTCTTTTTGCTTCCTCCCTTTCTGCAGAGCATCATGGTGTTCCATTTTTAATGGTCATAGAATATGCACTAACATGCCCAAATCTTTTTTTCTGATTCACCATAAGTAGCATCCGATGACTGGCTGCACTCGGAATACCTGTAGGCATTCACATGGACCAGCATGATTTTTGCGTCATAAATACAATTTTCATTTCTCCTTCATCATTGTCACTTTCTTCAACATTGTTATTATGCCCTGCTTTCCCCATTTTGCCCACTCTGTGTACAAAGGAGCTTCTTTCTCAGTCTTTCCCAATAGTTCATATAGTATTCATGGCCAATGTTTGCCTGTGTGTGAAACATAGCTCCATGTGGGTTGTTTAATATTCTTCATAAGCTTTATGTTGTTTCTTATAAACTGCACCAATTTCTGTCCTTCCATTGAGGTCTTGGTTTCATCCGTTTGCAGCCATATGGTCAACATCATTTTTTCCCTAAGTCTATTCTCTCAATAAAGCTGGCTTTGTGGCAATGCTTCCTGAGGGGAACTATTTTCAAGTCGTTCCACATTATCATTAATTTCTCAACCATTCTAATGGCAAACTCACATCCATTATCACTCTGCAAAATACTGGGAGCCTCAAAAGTAATGAAAACATCCATTTAACTGTATGCAACTTATTTTATGTACTTGGCAGTGAGAATGACAAAGCTGGTTAAGTGATGCTGACATACAAAAACAAGGCCAGCATCCTATTCACAACCGCAGAGTGTAACACTATGCAGGTGTTATGCTTGTACTGACAGAAACCGTGCAGGAGCTTTATCCATGTAGTGCAAGACATGGGACGGAGGCAGCTGCAGGTCCTTCTTCTCTGAAATCACCGCCTGCCTGCCCCCTTAGCACAGCAGCTTCTCAGCCAGTGATGTGCGTAATACCTGACTTCAAAGGTCCTCAGGGGCCAAGGCATTGTGGGAGGAGTATTAGACAAATCCTTGGAATGTTACTTTCTAAAGTAATTCATTATTGTCCTAGTTCTGCCCCAAGTAGCTAACCACCATTATGCAATTTTAATAGTAACTCTTTGCTTCCCATTTCTCAAAAGTAATCTTAAAAGTTTTAATGCTGCAAGCCACAGGTTCATGATATAAAACACAATTTCCCCCTCCATTCATTCATCCACACACACAACAGAACAGAAGGCAGCAGCACAAAACACAAGGCAGAACTTGAACAATGTAGCGCATTCTTCCGCCATTTAATGAGTGTCTGGTTGATGAGTGACACTTCAGTAACATTTGAAGTAATTCTAACATTTCAGCTGTACTTTAAAATGAGCACAGTTAACCATCTTTCAGGTACACTCTTAATGTTACTGGGTGATGACTTACCTGTTACTAAGAGCAGGGTGTAAACTTCCAACCATGCTGGAAGGGTTGGAGCTTGAAACCACACTCCTCCAGATGACATTTGCAACCTGAGTCTGAAATTTGCTCTCCAAATAGACTTGGCACGGACATCTAGCATCGATTTTTGGACTTATCAACAATTTTCCTGCACTGTCCACGATAGGTGCTTAGCCTGATAAGGTGGAGTCTTTACCACAAAAGCTTACAATTGTTTGATTTTTTTAGTAATCCAATAAAAGATATCACCTGCACTTACGTTTGTGTAATCTTAAAGACCACTGAGCCTTTCCCTAATTCTTTCTGAATTAAACACATGTATCCTCCCTTTATTCATTTATTTTTATTCATAAATATGAAACTGAATACACTTTTGTCACCCAGAGGCACATAATTCCACAGTGGGGTAGGTCGGTATGTTTGAAATAACTTTTATTTAAAGGATCCTCTCTTATTCCTTTTTTCCCCCAACAGTTTTAACAGAAGCAATGATTTGTGCTTGATGAACAATGCCGGCACCATCATTTTAATGTTGTCCATATGGGCTTCTAATAATAGATAAGAAACTACATTTGTATTGTATGTCTTAGAGACATTTAAAATCTCGATAAGGAAAAGCTGGTTTCATTGGCCCCACAGTTAAAGGAAAGCAGACCCTAATTAAAAGAATTCTGTTCTGAATTAACTAGTATGACATGTGCTAATTGACAGTTCCTGTGAAATGGTTCTAATTAAAGTCAATATGTCTTTTTCAATTAAGAGAAAATTAAGAATATACTAATATACATTAACAACTTAATCTGCCTTCAATATCCCATATATCAGCTTCCTTAATGTTATTGGAGAGCCATCTGACATAGATCCTCTGCTGTTTGGCTGTGAAGTTTTATTGCCCCAAAAAGAACACCAGCTATGATACATATCCCATTCAGTGAGAGGAAGACAAGAATATGTTCACATTAGTGCAGATCCTGCATGCAGAGATAATCAAACATGCATCTAACAGAGATTGGAGTAAGGAGGTATTTTTATAAAGTTCAGTTGCAGCATCCTCTTCAACCCACTTCTATCAGGATGTTTTGGATTACAACTCGCAAAAACCCCATCTTGGTGTGGGCTGATGGGAGCTTTTTGTCCATCACATCTAAATGGCACCAGGATGGGGAAACATGGGTTATGACAGCTAAAATTCATCAGGATGTAAGTGAGAAAAGTCACACTTTCATTTGAAAATTATCATTTTCCATTTAGACAAGGCATGTGCTCCCTCTGTGAATTTTTAAAATGAAATATATATGCATTCAAAGTGAAAAAGCCCCTTTTCTCACTGCCCCACCACTAAATTTCAGTGTCAGAATTAGAAGAAGCTGCCCAGTGAGGCATAATATCCAAATTTCAGGTATAGCTGCTTCAGATCACTATCTATCATATGGCTCGATCAAGGGAGAGATGCATAACTCTTTCACCCACCCATAAAACCTCTTTGTTCCTCCCATTGCAACATGCAGGAAATATACCCAGAAGCCATCCATGTTCAGTACAGAGGAATGTATCTGTTAATTTCAGTATCTTTCAAATCCCCTTTAGGAGCTCAGATCTTAGCAGAGATTAGGATGTATTTTCCAAAGCTGCCCAATCCAACCACGGAATGGTCTGCAGGGACCATTCCTACAAATGGTCTCCATCTTTAGTTCAAACTATTTCTGATATTCAAAATACCTTCAGTTGTATGTATATGTCTTTTTTCACTGGGCCCTGTGATCTCAAGATTCTAGTTTTTTTAAAAAAATAGATCAAGCCTGACAGTTTCCTTAGGATATTATATATCTTTATCAAATGATATATCCATCCTACCCTCATTGGGGGTAATTGTTGCAGACAGGCACCGTCTGCACAGGGCCAGAATTAAGCAAGGCAACCATGGCTTTGCCTAGCGTACCAAATTTAGAAGCCATGCCCCTCTCCCAGACTTCCAAAGACTGGCCTGGTACCCTGGTCTACCAACATAGGACAAGAAGGCAGAAGAACAATGGAAGGGTTGTTGATATGAAAGGTGCTTCTGTGGCAGCACATAGCATGACTACCCAGGGCTTGATATACCAAGTCTCTGGCCCAGACATGCAAGCAGTAATGGTGTCCACATGGAGGACTGGTCTAATGCAATCACAGGTAGACTGGCCTCTCCTGTTGGAGGACACTTCTACCCAAATTTCAGCAGGCCAGGCCTTTTATACCAAACCACCTTTCCTTTGTCTTGGAATTCTATCCATGGAGACCTGGCACAAATGTATTCTCTATACAGTGTTTAAAAATAGTCTCTGGAATAGCAGATTTCTTGGCTTGCTAACTATCTCCAAATGGCACAAAAGCTGGGATTTCTTAGGGCTGGCCTGAGACATTTCCCTGCCTGTAACAAAATAGTAAATGCAGGCCCTTCATCCACCTAACTAAAGAGGGATAGTTTTCAAAGCCAAACAAATTATTTGGGCACATGAGATAGAAAAACCCAGAAGGAATTCTCCCTGTCCCAGACAATTAAAATATAATGGCAGCAACACATTAGATGGCTAACAGTTCGTTGCTGAGAGCCACAAGGAAACCTCACTCTGCCTTGTGGTAGGGCTAACCTTGTGATTTCCTCTTAGGCCTCCACACGTGAGCATGGAAAGCCTGAATCTCCCGTTCTTCCCCTCCATCCTCTCACCTTTTAATCTCATCTTTGGCAGAGAACTGGGTTTGTGGTGTGGTTTGTAACCTTTGGATGGTACCGATCCACATGTGATTGCTCAGACAGATGCATCAGAGAAGACTCATTCCAGCCCTTTTTGCTATTTCCAGATTTCGGCTCCCTTTGCCTTTGTACAAATAATTAACGAAACATTCCTTCTGTTTATATCCTGACCAGCAAAAGCAGGATTGTTTGTGTGAGGAAGAAACTGCTGTGTTGGCAGGGCAAGCCAAGCACATCCTATAAACTCTAGAGTGCAAGAAAAATTTATTTTGGCAGCAGGTCTGTTCAAGTAATCAGCATGTGGGACATGATACACCATGGCCCAGGCAAGAACCCCTGTTACTAAAGCCTGTTTTTGCTCAAGTATCTGTCCCACATCTCTCCTCCTCCCCCACCCACCCTATAGTCATATTTGCCCTGCCTTGAGTGCTGTGAAATAACTATACATCCTCTCTTAATATATACATTCTGGAAACTGTTTTCCCTGTTCAAACAGAACAGATAAACATATTTTTTCAGTATTTATTTGTTCAGGAGATAGAAAACAAAGTAATATGGAGTGGTTTTAATATCTTATTGGCTTCGCTATCCAGGGCTCTTCGCCTCCGGCAGGCTTCCTTTATACACCATGCCGTGCACTTCCCCTCTCCTCCCCCTTTTGTTTGCTTTTTTAATTGAATATTTCATACCTTGGGTCTGCTGATTCTGACCCCAGTTTGTTTCCCACTTTCCACTTCATGTCATGGCATCAATTTTTAATTATTATGGTTGTTATGACAAATCTGAAACTTGGTTCAAGCTGTTGCCTTCCCTGCCTGGGAAAAAGAAAGCAGACCTCATGTTCGTTTCTAGGGTGGTATCAGTCTGAAAAAAGAAAGGCAAACAAACAAGAAGTAATAGCCATTGCCATGCAATCTCATTAGATTAAAAAAAGAAGAAGTTGTTGTTTGCAGCCCTTTTCTCATTTTTCACATGTTCTAGGTTTTCAAAAATATGTGTACGAAGATCAAGTCATGATCTTGGTACAGTCCAGTTTTCGTCAACATGATACATTACTGGAATAACACATTTCGAGGGCATCATGTTGGGGACAAGTGGTCTACTGCCTTTTGTTGTTGTTTAGTTGTTAAGTCCACAGTCCAGTTTTCCTCAACATGATACATTACTGGAATAATGGGCATCATGTTGGGGACAAGTGATCTACTGCCTTTTGTTGTTTTTTAGTCATTAAGTCATGTCCGACTCTTCGTGACCCCATGGACGAGAGCACGCCAGACTCTCTTGTCTTACACTGCCTCCCAGAGTTGGGAGGACGAGAGCACGCCAGACTTTCTTGTCTTACACTGCCTCCCAGAGTTGGGTCAAATTCATGATGGTAGCTTCAATGACACTGTCCAACCATCTTGTCCTCTGTCATCCCCTTCTCCTCTTGCCTTCACATTTTCGCAACGTCAGGATCTTTTCCAGGGAGTCCCACAGCTTCAGGATCTGTCCTTCCAGTGAGCACTCAGGCTTGATGTCCTCCAGCACCACAAGACAAAAGCATCAATTCTTCAGTGGTCAGCCTTCTTTATGGTCCAGTTCTCACTTCCATACATCACTACTGGGAAAAGCATAGATTTAACTATGCAGACCTTTGTCGGCAAGGTGATGTCTATGCTTTTTAAGACCCTGTCTAGATTTGTCATCGTTTTCCTCACAAGAAGCAGGTATCTTTTAATTTTGTGGCTGCTGTCCCCATCTGTAGTGATCACGGAGTCCAAAAAGGTAAAATCTGTCACTGCCTCCATATCTTCCCTTTCTATTTGCCAGGAGGTGATGGGACCAGAGGCCATAGTCTTAGTTTTTTTGATCTTGAGCTTCAGACCATTTTTGTGTTTTCCTCTTTCACCCTCATTAAGAGGTTCTTTAATTCCTCCTCACTTTCTGCATCAGAGTGGTATCATCTGCATATCTGAGGTTGTTGATATTTCTTCCAACAAACTTAATTCCGGCCTGGGATTCATCCAGTCCAGCCTTTCGCATGATGTATTCTGCATATAAGTTAAATAAGCAGGAGGACAATATCCAGCCTTGTCGTACTCCTTTCCCAATTTTGAATCAATCAGTTGTTCCATATCCACTTCTAACTGTTGCTTCTTGTCCCACAGGCACTCCCATTTCTTTAAGAACTTGCCATAGTTTGCTGTGGTTTACACAGTCAAAGGCTTTTGCATAGTAAATAAAGCAGAAGTAGATGTTTTTCTGGAATTCTCTGGCTTTCCCCATAATCCAGTGCATATTATCAATTTGGTCTCTAGTTTCTCTGGGAGTTCTCAGTCCACAAACTGCTGAAGCCTACATTGTTGGATTTTGAACACAACCTTGCTAGTGTGTGAAATGAGTGCAATTGTACAGTAGTTGGAGCATTACATAATCTTGCTATCCTCTGAAATGCTTCTGTTAGGTCCCTACCATTATTGTAATTTATCATGTCCATCTTTCAACAAAAGATTCCTTTAATATCTCCAATTTTCTTGAACAGATCTCTGGATTTTCCCTTTCTATTATTTTCCTCTATTTTTGCACTGTTCATTTAAGAAGGCCTGCTTTTCTCTCCTTGCTATTCTTTGGAAGTCTGCATTCAATTTTCTATAACTTTCCCTATCTCCCTTGCATTTTGTTTCCCTTCTCTTCACTGCTATTTGTAATTTGCCAAAGCGCTTCAGGAAACCCTTCCAGGTCCGGCTGATGCAAATGCACCTCAACGATGGAAACATTTCAAGAACGCTGTGTATAACACTGCCTTGTCCACATTTGGCAAGAAGACCAAAAAGA